TTTAGTTTTATGTTGGAAAGATTCTTATCCTCCCGCAAACTTCCCAACATACAGAGCGAATCACATCCGTTTCCTACAACGCTCAGTATTATGGGTTCCTTAAATGTATGAGGTGTCATAACTTGACCGGTAAATCCGCACTCTTCCCATTACATCCCACGGAAAAGTTTAAAACAATTAGGACTACTTCGTTAATTAAGTTGTGAAACTATACCGCTCACTTACTATCCTCACTAATGCAGACATCTTCAGATGTAGCCCCTCAAAAGTGCATTTCCAATACTCAGTGAATAGCATATTTTTAATCAGAATACACACATGAGACCTAGGACCATACATTTAATAGTAGGCAGGACACCATGTACATGAGTTAAAATTTGCATATAACTAACTTGCTTGTGCCTTGGTATCCTGCTCTCTTTGTCCTCTATTCTTATTGTAAATAGAATCTTGGAAACCTGCAATTAGATTGGAATTACAATATTCCATTGGTGCTATTCTTAGATATCACTGCATCCGTCTTGAAGCAACTCCTCCGCAATCGTGTAACTTGCGATGAACGTCTTTATGGTATAACACGAAGCCCCTGATATTTATTCGCCCAGTGTTTCATTGATTGGCTCCATTTCTTCCACCTCGGCCGTAAACAGTATACAAAAATGCAAAAAAATACTTACAACTTTATCTACAGGTCCAGACTTTTTGACTCGACATCGACACCATCTTCTCCATATCACCCTCAGATACAACACACAAACACACATTTCCCATCTCACTTCCACTCGAATGCCTCGTCTGGCCTAACGCGTCATCTCACCCACTCGGTCTTCTCACTCCATGCCACATCCAATCCATCTCCACTTCCTTCCACTGCATATTTGATGAGCGATGGCTTCCTGGTTGATTCCCTGCCCCACCACAATTCCTCCTTGCTCATTCTTTCTCACCTTCTCACCTGAGCTTCAGTAGTGAGTGATTGTGGGTGGCAGTTGTTGTTGATGAATGTGTGTAGTTTGTTGGAAATGCCTTTGATAAGGCGGCAAGTCTGTGAGCCATATAGCAGCACTGACTTCACTGAATTTGTGTTGAGAATGCGGATGTTGTTCACGCTTTGTGTTGAGTGGGGAATATCTGCACACTGGTTTCAGGTGAATGAATGCGTGTGTTGCTTTTCGGATCCTGGCTGCATTGACGTGGTCGTGTGTGTCGCCACCTGTAGTTGAGACGATGGTGTCTTGTGTGTGTAGGTGAAGGAGACTACTTCCTTCAAGTTTCTCCCATTGATGGTGATTGCAGCTTGTTTTTGTTGATGCTGTTCTTGTTGTTGTTGGTAGGGTGTCATCATCACCTGTGTCTTCTGCATGTTCACCTGAAAGAAGTCCCGTTTTCGCTGCCTCTTTTGTCAACTTGTTAGTTTTCGCCTGTAGATCTTCAAGTTTGTGTCACATTAGACATACGTCATGGGCGAAATCCAAATCTTCTAGGCTGTTTCCCGTGGTCCAGCGATCCTTTTGCATAGATAGTCGATAATACTGGCTAACCTATCGATCTTAGTATCGGGACCATCAAAAGCTTATACATGTTGAATGCTTGAGGAAATTCAGTGTAGAGAAAGCTGACTAACTGAACAGATTATTGTCTTTATCGCTATCTCTTAACAGACTACTCATATGCCATTCACGTTATGAAATTACCCTGTAACCGTGTTAGGTCACATTTAACATTTGGTCGATAACTTTCTGCTCAGATAAGTCATTAGCTTTTATCACTTCCTCTTTCACAACGCTATGCGATACGTCTCAATCGGGGGTTTGAATAGCTTCCTATACCTGCCCATGTTAATTTTGTATTCCAGGTTCTCACATGGTTGATCAAGAAGACGTTTTCTGGATGAGTATATCACAAATACGGGTAGGAAGACCTACAAGAGAGTATAAGAAGACTGATGGCATTCACAGACTTCATTTCTAAAATTTTCTCACTACTAGAACTCAGAGGAATTAGGAATGGCATAGACAAATACAGAATTACTAAAACGAAAATCAGAAAGCAGAAAATACAGCAGCACACAAAATTTAACTACCTCCTGTTCTTCATGTATATTTAAATCGTATGTGAGTACCAGTTACTGATGGTAAGTGGGTTACAATGACAGTCATTATAATATCCAGAGATTATGAAATGCCAAATTATCCAAAATTTGTTTTATGGGAGTGAGAGCTTATCTCATTCCAGACTGTATAATAGTTACCAGAAATAATCTCTCTTTTGTTGACATCACAAACACTTCTGATCAATGTATAACAGACAGCGTGATAAATACATCAATACATGAAACATGGATTACATTCTGCTGTTTACTTCATGTTACCTATAGCCCCCCTAGTAAACTGTTCTCGATAATCTCGATATCACATACTACCAGTTGACCGCTTGATATCCATGTCAGTCTCAGTGACGTTACCATTCTCGTTAGCTAGCAGAGATTCTATGGTACTAT